TAAGAAAAATATTTAACATTTACATAATTGTGTTTTGTGCAAACAGTATAAATAAAAACTATCGCAAAAAAAAAAAAAAACCTTGAGAAATAACTGGTACCATTACGTTTAAATGAAAACGTTTATTGAAACAATAAACTTATAAAATCTTGCGAGGTAACTCGCTCGCTCGTGGATGGATGGATACCTGGATACCTATATAGCAAGCCAGCTGGTTAGCACGTTAGACTAAACGATGACCTTGATAGAATAAAAGACTTTCACTCTCTTATGCATCTTTTAACGGAAGAACGCTACTGAAAATTAATACATATCAATTATAATTAAAGTGACCGCTAATTGAACAAAACCTAAATGATAGTATTATTATTATTATTATTATTGTTCTTTCCTTTTTTTTTTTTATTATATTTCGAAACGTAAAAAATAAATTAGTCACAGCTTTATATAAATAACCATATACGCGTATTTATTAATAATAATAATAATAATAATGAGAGGCCAAGTAAAATTTATGCGAAAAAAAAAAAAAAAAAAAAATCATCCCTGCAAATGAGATGAAGTTTTCCTCGATCTAAAACGACTTTCGACATAATTACACTGAAAATAATATTTTTGATTTTAAAAAGTTACTCACACCATACTCCATCAGAAAGAAACCTTGTGACTTATATATTTCATTATTAAATCTTTTAAATCGGTTTCAAAATTTCATACATTTATAAAAGCGGGGGGGAGGGCGGTTATGGTCTTAAATGTAATTACACGTTTAAAAAAAAAAATTGCAATTTCAAATTCTAAACTGATTCTTACTCTTGTGTAATTCAAAATAAATACCAAAAATGTTATCATCAAATAATTACGTTTATCTCGCGTGAATTTTTTATAAAAATGAATTTTATCGGTTCCTCTATGGAAAACAAACCTCTATGAAAACCTTTGACCAATAATTGTAAAATGCAAAACCTATCAATTAAATATATAACAAAACAAATAATTTACTAATTCAACTCTCAAAATAATAATAATAAAAAAATTTATTTTTATTTTCTTGTTTTAACTGATTAGTTTCTAACTTAGCGGCATGCAAAGTAATGAGAGAATCGCATTCGACTCCGTCTTCTTTTCTCCCACTTAAATAAAAAAAAAAAAAAAAAATTTAATTTTTTTTTTTTTTTTTTCTATCTGCCTTTCCCTCTCTTAGCGCGTGTGTTTTTTTTTTTTTATTTCACGTATACCTGTTTTAAAGTCCCTGGCGCAGTGGGCGTACCTTATACGCAAAGGAAGTATATATAAAAGGATTATACTGGATAAACGAGGATTTTTAATATTCGTCTTTCTTAAATCACACTAACACGTCTTTTGTATACAACAATTTTTTACCGGTAATTTGTGTTCATTTATTAGTGGTGAATTTTTTTTTTTTTTTTTTTTGGATATCTGACGTCATTTAAAGGTATGATTATTTTATAATTATTTTATTTTATTTTATTCCCGAAAGGGGATTACGTAAAAAAAACTCTAACACATCCCCCCTTCATTTATAATTACATTTAAAAAAACGAGTTAATGAATTTATCCGGGATTTGCGTGATTAATGGAGGTTTTAAGTAAAAAAAAAAAAAAAAAGAGAGAAAATGAGTCGATTAAAATAATATTTAAATAAATTAATTAACGATAAAAAAAAAATTAATTAAAAATT